AAATCTAGAACAGCTACCAATGCGTCGCCCAAGGAATATAAGTATCAACCAGCCACCCATCTCCACCCTCTCCTCTTTAAAACGTCCCTCCACCCCCAGACAGAGAGAGAGGGGGAGAGAGAAATTGAGGGAATGAGAGAGGGACAGCTGGCAGCACGTTATTCGCATTAAGGGACTTCCAGGCTTCAAAATAATACTGATGTGCAAATGGAACACCTTTCCTCCCCCACATAAAAGAAAATACTGTCACAAAAACAAAATAACTAATTCCTATTTGCAGGGGAAGTGGGCCAGCTTGGGCCACACCTACCCAATTTCAAGTCATACACCACCGCCTACAGTATGAGAATTCCATGCATTCTTCTTTGTTGGAAATACCTCACAAAGCAATTGTTATTTTCAGAATCTCAGGATATAATTCATCCTTTTCAGACTTCAGACAACAATCTTATCTATCCCAAATGTTTTCAATATGAAATATGTTTTCAATATGAAATATGTTTTCAATATGAAATATGTTTTCAATATGAAATATGTTTTCAATATGAAATATGTTTTCAATGTTTTCAATATCTATCTATGTTTTCAATATGAAATTGGACTTCAACTCTTACATTCATGAACTGAAAGACTGGAAGTTTGTCCAATTTTAAACTTGAGTCTATTGATCATAACCTTCCATATATTTTTTTAGACACAAATACATGATCAACTCCTTCTAAAAATACAGAATAAAACACAATGAGTCACTAAATATTTTTTTAATTATCCAAGAAGCTAGTTAATTCTCTTTTTGTTCCCCGCACCAACTCATTCACAGAAATCAGGACTCTCGTTTTCATTTGCTAAATAAAAATTGGTGCTTTCAAAATGTTCACTTAGTACAATAAATAAACGAAGTACAGTACTGGAATTCAATAAATTTAAAATCATTTTCGCACAATATTGCGTTGATCAGAAGCAGTCCTGCCATTCCAAAAAAAGCGCCATAAAATCTAATACGCACCCGGATATGAAAAAAATCATTTCAAGATCGCTTCTCGAATAAACACGGCATTTAAAGTACTGCATCAGAGATTTAAAAAAAATAGACAGTCTGTCATCAGAGAAAATACCCGGGGTTATAAACAACAGAACCTCGGTGATTCATCAACCACATGAAACCCACACTCAACTCTCACACCCACTGATTCCGGAATAAAACTCAGACGCGCCCAGCATCAATTAACACAAGCGCGGTACTGCGCGTCCACAATGTTAAGAGGAAAAAAACACCAACACTGAGCCCCGACGACCTTGAAAATGAAGGATTAAAAGTAGGGCAGGGCTGAGATGAACAAGACAGAGAAGCAAAACTGGGGAGGAGGAGGAGGATGAGGGAAAGAAGAGGAGAAAGAAAGGGAGGAGGAAATGGAAGGAAAGAAAGATATGGGACGGATGAGACATTGATTCCAGTACTGGTGGCAGTGAGTTGACAGACGGACAGACAGACAAACTATAGCACCCAGACAGGAGTTGGTTCAGAATTTTTTCCCGTCTTCTGCGTCCATTTTAGGATGCACTGTACTGTAAATTGGATTACATTTCCCATCTAGATCTGGAATACTGAACACCAAGAGATTTTTGCACGTTTTTCATTCTTTTTTTTCTCGCAAAACTGTATCTTCTGTTCAGTGTTTCAAGCGGGTGTTTTTCACTACTAAATGACTTTGTCCATCCTCTGCCCAATTGAGTATTTAGTTTTTACACAGCATAAACTCAAGTAAGAGCACTCACTGTTAAAGAGTTTAAAAATCAAATGGATAGCCTCAGTTGAAGTAATATTCTAAATGCTTACATTGTCTCCTGGCATCTGATTTGTCTTCAACATTTCACCACATCATAAATCCACAATCCAATGACATCTTGCATTACTTCAGCTGAAAAAAAGTTGGAGAGATTAAAAAACTTACCAATGTCAGAGATGCAATGAAGAAAAATCCACAGCAAAAAAAAAAAAAAAAACTTGTCTACAGTTGATTAATATTTCCTACAGTTACTTTGGAAGATGTTCATCAGCAAACTTGACTGCACATTAATGAAAAAATGTTGCATCAATCCCCACAGCATTAGTTTTAATGTCACCCATTGGCATTTCAAAAAACCGTGGAGGCACAGGAATCCTAGCATTGCATAACCTCAAATGAAAAATTAGCTCACCATCTGCATTTCATTGAAAACAAGGCTCACATAATTTGTTTTCTTTTGTGAGTCACATACACATGAGAAGGCATGAATGATTAAGTGGAAAGTGTAGGAAAAAAGGTGGGGGGACAGACTGACTCACATGTACTGCACTTACACCTATATTTAGGCATCAGTCAGCTACTTCCTATCACCCATCTTGAAATATGCAGATTCAAGTCCCACACATTTCCTGTATGATCAAGATGAGAGGCAACCACTGGACAAGGGTGATGTTAATCTTGATGATTGAAAGACAGTTGAGTCATCACCATGATTCATCTGGTGTGTGAGTCAAGTATGCAGTGAGTTGGCACAGTATTCACTTTCATTAACATTTCTGTTAAAAATAAACTTTTAGATGACTTCATCATAAACCTCATCTATGGGATAATGAAAAGCAAAATAAAAAGGCAATTCAAAAGAGTCAAGCTATGAATGATCAACCTGATTTTATGGAGTGAGAAAAGAAGAAATGGAATTCAAAAGAAATTGAAGAGAAAATAGAGCTATAAAATCAATGCATGCTCTCATGAAGCAAGAAATCATCATAAATCACAAACCTCTGGATAAAAGGGGAAGATATATTATTTTTAATTCCACAACAAAAAAAACTGTAAGAAACTTCAGAAAAATTACACAACAATACATGATATACAGTACTGTAGTATCTTGCTGACAGTAACCAAAACAGTATTGCATTTATATATTTTTTATACTTCAGAACACCAACAATAGGTGGGATGAAGCTCAAATCCACTCAATTCTTCACAATATGACTGTCCATAATACTCATGGAAAAAATGGCAAAGAAAAACCTGAAATTGACAGATCTCACAGGCAAACATCTGAATTTTTACATAGAATTGCTGCTTTAGGAATTGCAGCAAAAATGCCTGACGAACATTTCAAGTAATTTTGCGTCACCTTATCCAGTCATGTCCACCATAATAATGAACATGACTGACGATGTAGGCTTCATAATTTATTGACCCCAATCAAATTGGGAAATATTACGAATGAACCACCTAGTGTACTACATAACCCAACACCAGATTTAAAACAATGGCTAGCTTCAAATTTCACGATTCCACAGTTGGTAAGGGAAAAAGAATTAACTCCCTTGAAATTTCCACACAATATTTCCTTTTACACCAGCAATATAGAAAATGAGGGACTCCCACAGTACTACATATCGCACGGCTTTTTGGTAAGCATGTACTGTACTCAAAAAAGTAGCTAATCTTTCGCATAATGTACCTCCACGAACTGCTCCACTATCTCTCCTTCCATGGAAACACACACGTACACAAAAATAGGCATCAGCCAACAGAAAAAAAAATCAAGCGGAATTTCCAAAGCACGTCTCTTCACACAGCCAACTCGCATTCTTTCGCACGTACATCCCATCTCATCAAACACACGTCACAAAAATTCCATCCACAATCGCATTCACTTCCTTATCCAAAAAAAATATGGAAGACAGGAATCCCGAGTGGAAAATGAAGACAGAAAGAGAAAGATAGAAACCCCAGCCCACGTCACGAATATTTCCGCCAACACTCGGCGTGGGAGGCTTGAGATACCTTAGGAACACTTCCTCATCCATCACCGTCCGCCTTTCCACAACCACAACGATAAAAAAAAGGAAAATCGCCCCTAAACGCAGAACTTCAAAGTTCCCCGACTCGCAACATCACTGGTCAGCAGTCGCTAAGGAACTGACACTGAAGCTTCGCCGGCCAGCCGGTTTTTCCGCCCCACCATCTTCTTCCTCCTCTGGCACCGAAGCGCCTGTCCGTCGCGCAGTCTCCCTGAGTCACGATGTTAGTCCAGAAGGCGCTGGAATGTTCTGGAAGCTGGCGGGATGTCGGACGACACACTCCCCGCGCTCCGGTTGCTTTTCTCAAAAAAGTCAAAAAGTCATATTTTCGGCACTTCCCACGTTCTCATTCATAGAAATTTACTAGCAAATATCTGGGATAATTGATATGCAGCTGAATTACATAAAAAAGAGCGGAATGCATTACGGCACGGTCTTGGATCCATTCCTGGATGGGAGGTTGCATAATAAGCGGATATATGTTGACAGTTAGTAAACGGCTACTTCCCTTCAGAAAACCAAAAACTTCACCAACAGAGTAAAAAGAATCTGCCTCATTTGGAACAGCTGATTCTCTCAAGATACCTCAGATATTTCCAGTCACTATGGATACTGAAGAACATTTTAGAAACTTGGAAGATTCATCAAACTATGGCATATCATAGAAATCTCTTGTAAACATTTAAAAATCAACATTGTAGCCGCACACAATTTAAATCCTAAATTACCAATTTTCTAGGTACAAAAATAATCCATTATCCAAAGCAAGCTTCAATATCCAAGTCCAGCAAGGGCACCCTGTTTACTATTATTTTTCCAACTTCTGAGAGACAACCAGAGCGGTGCGCATCTGGGCAAACCCAAACCCCAGCATATGAAGCGTACCCGGAAATTGTGTACAGAATGGGATGCCCATACAGAGCCGAGTTGACGCCCACGGGTATGAACAAGCGATGAGTAGTTGGTACGAATTTGTCCCCGTTTTGAATGGACAAAACGGGAGGGGAATGCGGCAACCATGAATGCGCCCGCGCGCCTTCCAACAGTGGGTGTGAGAAAGGTCCTAGGAGTCCAATCTGTCCGGCCTGAATCGGCATGCTGAGTCATTTTCTTGCCGGCATGCTGTTCGCCACATACTTAATCCCCTTGAACACATAGAAAAAAAATGAAAGCCTCTCTTGACACCCAGAAAATTGCATGTATTTAAACTTCGAAAATAATCAGGCACAGAAAAACAAAACAAAAACAAAGGACACACAATCAATCCTCAAGCCCCCCTTATATTCCCCAATGTGTTGGGATGGGAAACATGAACACCATCATGGCACACATGCAATCTGGCATTACTGGACTAGCAAGTTCATCCAAGTGTGTCTCTACTCTTCCTTTTTTTTGCAAAAAGGAATGTCCTGAGACATGAAAAAACAAATTTTTGATACTGATTAAATTGCTCACACAGGTCAGTTCTGAAACAAAGGGTCTACTTGGCCATCCAATGTTACAAAAGCTATAAAAAGGACTGAATATCTGAACAACTCAGATCTTCTATGTATTTCTCACTAAATAAAGAGATAACCTGAAGGTTCATGTGGGTTCCACAAAAATGCCCAGGAGTCTTTACACATCCATGCTATAAAAAAAACATGGCGAGTTGTTTGCCCTCAGAAAAAATAAGCTCATGTACAAAAAGAACAGCCATTTTGAGGATACAAAACAGTTTGGGGTCTTAGCCAAACAAGAAAGGGGCAAAATACTGAATCCAGTTGTACAGCTCCTCTTCCTTCTTCTTTTTGTTCTTCTTGGGCTCCACTCTGTTTTCTGAATGGTCCCTGGGCTTGGAGTCTGGTTTCACATGGTGACTCATCTCTGCTTCCTCTTGGTCTTCTTCTGGTTCCTCCAAATCATCTTCAGTCTCTTCCTCTGGATCTTCTTCCACCTCTTCTTCTGGAATATAGTCCACAAATGGCGCCAGAGAGGTAGTTGTGGTTGTTGTGGGCAGTGTAGTTGTCTTTGATGCCATGTACTGCTTCTCAGCATTTCTCTACAAAGATCACCAGAACTTTAATATACTAATGAATCTTCATAATTGAAATGTCCAGTTAATCACTGTCCAATTACTTCAATTGCCATGCAATAGCAAACCTCCAGTTGTCAAACTTTCTTAGTTTTAAGTTAACAGTAAATATTAGAAAACCCAATTTAAAAAGATAAATCATACAAGCTCTTCAAAATGGATTTGGCATCTTCTTAAACTACTGACAGGAATTACATTGAATCATCCTTCAATCATGACAGATCCAATAATTTGGTCAGAAAATGGTTTTCTTTGGATTACCTTCTCAAGTGGAGCCACATTCCACCCCCCCCCCCCCACTCAAAAATTAAAATGTTTTGGGATTCTCTCAAAATTTGCATAATAACAGGTTCACATTCAATTTACAAGATCTCCAGTGTGATTCTACATTGAAACTTTCCAAAGATCATAATATTCTCTGAAAAAAATATTTTCTTTTTCATACTTTGATATTGCAAGAAATTTATGTTTGTCCTCAGACATCCTGGTTTGACCAAAAGGCACTGAAACCATAGCTTCAGTTGATAAGCCAGATTCAGAAAAATCCAATAAGACTGAAGATATTTTCTTGAAATTTCTTTGAGCAAGATACAGATTTTCCTTTTCCCTCAGAATATTGTTTATTCTGACTATTTATTTATTTTCTCAACTATTTATTTTCTTTCAATGGTGCATGACAGGGGAAGAAGTATTTCAAAAATATTGTATCACCTGGCATCACTATTCATAAGAATATGGGAATGGTTAATCCCATTGGAAATCAAGCTAGATTTTAATCTCCACCCTGAATATGGATGTGTCCCAGTTTGGCAAAACCCACAAGTAATTACCAAGTATTTGGCCATTTCTCCATGGTTCTCCTTTTTGGCAATGATCCTGGCAGTTTGTGTCATGTCATCCACAATGCTAGGGTTTGCTCCAGCCAAAACAAGCTGTTTAACAGCCTCAAATGCACCTTCCTTGGCAGCATAATGCAAAGGAGTTCTATTCAGGTAATCAGTCTCATCAGGATCAGCTCTACACTTCTCCAAAAGGACACCTGAGGAACACCATCTCTTCTGTCACATGAAAAACCCCTTCCAAAATAAAGACACTTCTTAGAAGTGAAGTTTACCAATAACACCAATGTTGTCACAGCAGCCAAGCCTGAGTGGAGTCTGGCTCAGCTCATTATGAGCATTCACATTGGGCTTTGGGTTGGCTGATTCACACAAGGCAAATATGGCACCAGGGTTCCTGTACTGGGCAGCATAGTGAAGGGCAGTGTTGCCATCTATGGTGACAGCTCTGGCATCAACCAGGGTTGCCAATCTGCGCGTGATCCCAGCATCCCCATTTTTGGCTGCATAGTGGAGAGCTGTCCAGTTGGCAGAGTCCAAAAGGTCTGGCTCTGCACCAGACTCCAACAGTCTCTCAGCACCTGTTTTGGATTTGAAATTAGCTCATTTACATGAACTAAATTTACATGAATAGTCCCCTTTGTGAGTGTTGTGGCCCTTCAAAAGCACCTCCTTGGATGGTTCTTTTCACAAATGAACACATAGTAACTTCATGTCACACTACAGTATATGACAATTACTTCTGAAATTGGCAATTCATGTATATAGACAGAATATGCAGGCTGTTGTGGGCAGGGTTAGTACATATGCAAATCTGAGCCAGATTTGGTAGCTTCTGCTGAACAATATGCCTCAACATTCCAGTCAATAGAGCAATGCACAATTTGAATTCACAATTAATCAAGTGTTGAACAACTGATTCATCAAGAATGGTTCTGCAATATGCTCTTCCATGATTTAAAAATGTCTGCATATATTCCATGTGATAATTTCAACTGACTAATAATCAATTTTCTGAAAGCTGGTTCAATTTAAAAAAAAAAGCTCTTTAACTTAATAAAAAGCTTTGATCATTCATTGTTATCACTTGCACTTTTCCCACATAGTTTAAAGCCAAGGGTATGCAACCAATTTACATTAATTGTAAGAATACTGCAAAAATGCCAAAGAAGCAGTTCACTAAATCCTCTGGATCCAAAGCCAAAAAATTCTAATTATGCCACATCATCTTTTACCATTGTATCTCCATCATTAGTAATCCCTTTTTGAGAAGAGAACTGAGGATGAATAGGGATAATGTACATAGTGCTTTCAAATTGTATGTTTGAACTTTGAGACTTGTATAGCAATTTATGGGTAATCCTTGATATCCTTCACACAAAAATGAATAGAACCAACAAAATTCAACTTATGCAATTATTTATGTGCAACCACCAGGATCATTTAAACAATTGAAATTGAAAAAAAACTGGCATTGATGCCTTTCAAAGCAAACCTAACTCTAGGATATCATGGGAAGGCATATGCATCTCAACAATCTAAGGTAACTTCAGGTCAAGTTTGGATTATTTCATGAGAAAGTAGCCAGTTAAATGTAAAAAAAAATTGCATTTACAGTACAGTATTAGCATCTGTAGACTTTGCCAATGACAGATTTAACAACCATCCCATGACCTACATAATTTAGTACTGATTCCATGCAAAACATGTTTTCACACTCAAACCTAACCTGATATAATGACCAAGTTTACCTTACTGCATACCAAAGTAAATACCAACATAATGATTAACTTGATGTACTGTACAGGCAAAGACAAACATAATATATGGGTGATGACTAGAATGTAATATCCCAGTATAATGACTAGTCAAACTTGAAAACTGCCATGACTGATTGAAGTTTACACTCAAGGTCTGAGTCATGATGACTATAGCAAAATTCAACACCCATCATACTCCACTTGAAAATCTCAGAAGATTGGATGTGATGGGGTTGGCATATGGACACCTTCATTTAAAAAATACAGCTTCATCAACAACAGCCACAAAACTAAACAACATCAAAGACAAGAGCCTCAAAAATAAACAAGAACAAAGACAAAGAGCCTCCAAACTAAACAAAGTCAAAGACAAGAGCCTCAAAACAGCGTCAAAGGCGGGAGCCTGAAAATTAACCATTGGCAAAAAGAGCCTCAAAACTCAACAACATCAAAAGTAGAAGCCTCAAAACTGAACAACGTCAAATGAAAATAAACTCACCATCAAAATTCGAGCTCTGAATGGCAGCCATGAGCGCAGTCTTCTGGTCCCCACCAGGCACCCTGAGATTCGGATCCACGTTATGCGTGTCCAGCAGCAGGAACAAAACGTCGTTCCTGTTGGCACCCGCACTGGCCAGAAGCAACCCGGCATCCAGGGCACCAGCCAGGTCACTCCGCGCATGCGGCTGCAACGACATCAACCTCTTGACCTCTTCCCAGTCTTGCGCACGGGTCGCAGCCACCAGGGGATCCACTTCATCGTTACCCTCCATCTCAACGGGGGTTCCCACAACGACGACAAGCACCGCAGAAACAAGGCCGAGCATCAGCAACCACTTTGCGGCGAAACGACTCACAACTATCATTATATCTCCTCTATTTTTATTACTGATTATATCCCTCCGCACTTCTGAGAAGAATCAAAAACAAATGTTACATAGATAACCACACACACCTTTTTAACCTAAAGCCCTTGAGGTTCACACGCACGCAAGATGGTTCACGTAAGTTTTTCGTTCCGCCGCGCGGAAGGACTTGGTCTTTTGAAATGAGAGTGGGATGCGTTGCCAGCCAACATCTTGCAATAGAGGAAGAAAGTGACGGTTGTGCACTTGAGACGGCGGACAGGGAAAGAAAGGGAAGATGATTGGGGTACGGGGAGAGGGAGTGGAGACGTGAAGCAGACACTCCCTAGGTGGGCGGCTGCCAGCTTGGTCAAACTAATCATTTTTGGATACCCTACATGTACTGTATATATATACTTTGTGACCTGAAGTTCTGTTCTACATCCGTTCTGTTTTAACTGTTAATACAGATAAAACAGAATAAAATGAATACATCATGCATATAATGAGCACATCCTCTGAATCAAGATAGTTCATGTGAAGTGGTTATTTTTCTTCACTTTCTTTAGTATTCTGTACCAATATACTGCACACTAAATTACTGTCTTAGTTGCCTACAATTTATCAATGAAAATGAGTTCACCTGGGCAAAAAAAGAATCCAGGAAAACCCAATATCCATTTTCTCTAGGCACTCATTATTGAAGGTTTTATTTTGCAAATAAAGTATCTGTACTGTACCATTTGTTCCCAGTGAGATATTTAAAGGGATTGTTTGTGTCAAAGTGGTGATGCAAGTTAAAGATGACTGGTTATTAAAGTAGTTTTCTTGTGGAAATCCATAGCTGAAAATGTTGAACCCCCATATTTAATTACAACATAATTTTCATTCGAAATACAGTAATTCACTTGCATAATATGGAGCAATGCGAACCAGAGGCTTTTGACAGCCAGCAGGGCGCACGCGCGTCGAGAAATCTCTTACAAACCTCTAATCCTTCCCTCCCTTTTTTCTTCTCACATATAGTATACCTTTGCGGGACTCCCTTTTCCCTCTCCAAAGGTCTCTGGAGTTCTTGGCGCCAAAACCAACTTCTCCCTCTCCACCTGGTATTTACAGTACCATACTTCACATGCATACTATACCTGGTTCTCCCCATATCTGTCTGGGCGGTTGCGCTCTTAAGAAAAATGAAATTTGAGAACCCAATGGGGAGGAAAATAAAATGGAAAATAAAACCGTGGTTGCTTTGCTGGGTGGAGGTTGGGTTACAGAAAAGCTGATCTTTCAGTATGTGACCATCATATAGTTTGACTGGAACTTTTTAAAGTATGCATCACTCAAGTTGGATAAACTGGTGCCATGTGGATCAAATTTCCTAGTGCTCCTGTACCACAATGGATGCTCCATATTTAGAGGAACTTAATACAAGCATCCCTAAGGATATTCGACAGTTACATCAATTCTTTACATAGATAACATTGATTTAAGTTTACAATTCACATCATGTAAGTCAAGAAGCAGATTAGGTAATACTTCAAGGAACAAGTCAAGAAAAGCATGGAGTTGGTTCAGATTAAGGATTACATTACCTGTAGTTACTAAGTTCATTGAATCAATAAGTGAAGCATAGAGTTTATTTATTGATGTAGCTTGACTCAATGATTGTAATTTTTGTCCAGAATTAGGACATATACTAAGGATGGTACTTGAACATGCAGTGGTTTGGTGGAATGAGAGCATTGGCTCATCTTCAATGTGGTTCTACAATGGAATTTGCTTCCTTTTGCCAACTTTTTTCTTGTGAAACATGATTTTTGCTCAAGTTTACCTGTGAAATAGGTTTTATTTCTTCCAGAGACTCATCAATAAAAGACCACACTAAACATTAATAGATGTATATCTTTACAGTCTTCAGCATAAAATTGAATAATTAGAATCAAATTGGATCTAATTGAAAAAATCCTGACAAGGTTGTGTTCTTCAATTTTTAAAAATTCTTAAATTTAAATAGGAGTGGCAACATTGCCACTATTTTCTGATTATCACTGATTTTTTGAAATTTTTTAGTTTCAGCATAATAAAACTAGCTTATTATATGCTATTATATATCAATTTCATGCTATTTCAGCTAGCATAATAAAACTAGAACAGCTAGAATGTCAGTACAATGCGCGCAAGCACCCTTTATAGATTTGACACTTTCCAGACTCAACTGCGCAAGCAGGACAGGGACATTGCAAAAGGGGGCAAGGTAAATGACGGCCAACCAGACAACTGACCTTGTGCGCTTTGGAGCAATGAGTTGCTATGCAACACTGTTTCACAATCCAGTTTGTGGGTTTTAAACATTGGTATCATTGGGCTATTGCAGGAAGTACAAAATATGGCTTGGGTTACAAACTCTCCCCAGACAAATTGAAAGAAAAGTTCCACCTTTTCAGAGCCAATCAGCTAAGTTTTTTGCAAAAGTGTTCTCACAGAAATGAAATCTCAAGTGAAATTTCAAAAAGATTGATGAATTGATTTATGAAATGTCTGGGCATTGATTCCCATATGACAAGTCCTTGCATCAAAAAATGTTTTCAGAGAATCACTCATGGGTTCAATTTTGAACTCACACATTTGTGTGGCACCCATATGAGGATTCTCAGATGCAGGAGTTCACTGGGTTCATCTGGGAACAAGAATGTGGCAAAAAGTCACACTCTGGGAAGAAACAGGTATCAATACTTGTTTCTTCCTTCCTGAGACATTCCAAATGGATTCAAGTCTCATTCTTGGCTCTTTTCAGGTGGAGACCACATCTAAAGTGAGTCTTGTGAAAGTCTGATGTGGTGCTATTTCTTGCTGATTTTAATGCCATTTCTTTTTCTGTATTTTTGGTGAAGTTTTTAGTGCAATTTTAGTTGATTTTTGGAGGCTTAAGAAGCTACACATGGCGCGCAACTTGTACGACAATGCCGCAAAAAGTCTGACGCAACTTGACGGGGAAGATCCTGACAGACACACTCAAGTCAAAAGACCAACAAAAAATAAGTCTGCAAGCGTATGTGCTAGTGTGGGATTCAAGATCCAACAAAAACTGAAAAAATGGGGTTTCTGCTAGGAGCGACCTCTACCACAATTTTGGTAAGTTCAATCTCAAAAATGCTCCCAAGACATGATTTTCCACAGCAAAATGTGTTTTCCAGGTACTATTGGTGATCCATATGCATGAGGCAAGCATCTGTTCAGAAGTTGGGGGCAGGTTGGTTTGCACAGATGTGTTATGAAGTCAGAAGACCCTCAAGTCACAAGTTCCATGTGGATTTTGTGAGAGATTCTTTGGACCTTGACTGCATCAGGTATAAGGGTTTGAAGGTTAGTTCCCTTTCACTTTAGGTCTGAAAATAAAAAACAAGTGATCAATCTATTTCTTTTCTTTCCAAAATTTCAACAAGAAGATTTAGTTCTTATGGCCAGGGTTTGTAAGTAAAACACAACTTCTTGATATAGAGTGCAATACGTATATTTCTGGTTTACCTCAGTCAACACCAGACTCACAAATGAATGTCAGTACAATGCGCGCGAGTACCCTTTATAGATTTGACACGTTCCAGATGCAACTGCGCAAGCAGGACGGGGACATTGCAAAAGGGGGCAAGGTAAATGACTGCCAACCAGACAACTAACCTTGTGCGCTTTGGAGCGATGAATTGCTATGCAACACTGTTTCACAATCCGGTTCGTGGATTTTAAACATTGGTATCATTGGGCTATTGCAGGACATAGGAAATATGGCTTGGGTTACAAGATTCAAGTCCCACACATTTCCTGTATGATCAAGATGAGAGGCAACCACTGGACAAGGGTGATGTTAATCTTGATGCTTGAAAGACAGTTGAGTCATCACAATGATTCATCTCATGTGTAAGTCCAGTATGCAGTGAGTTGGCACAGTATTTGCTTTCATTAACAATTCTGTTTAAAATAACTTTTAGATGACATCATCAGGCACCTCATCCATGGGATAATTAGAAGTAAAATAAGAAGGCAATTCAAAAGAGTCAAGCTATGAATGATCAACCTGATTTTATGGAGTGAGAGAAGAAGAAATGGAATTCAAAAGAAATTGAAGAGAAAATAGAGCTATAAAATCAATGCATGCTCTCATGAAGCAAGAAATCATCATCAAACACAAACCTCTGGAGAAAAGGGGAAGTTATATTATTTTTAATTCCACAACAAATTCACAATAAAAAACTGTAAGAAACTTCAGAAAAATTAATTCACAAAAATACATGACATAGTATTCTGCTAACAGTAACCAAAACAGTATTGCATTTATATATGTTTTATACTTCAGAACAGTAACAATAGTTGGGATGAAGCTCAAATCCAATCAATTCTTCACAAAATGACTGTCCAACAAACTCATGGGGGAAAAAATGGCAAAGCAAAACCTGAAATTGACAAGTCTCACAGGCAAGCATCTGCATTTTTTTTTTTACATGGAATTGCAGCTTTAGGAATTGCAGCAAAAATGCCTGGCCCAATTTTGTAATTTAATGACTTAATTTTAACAAGTAATTTTGCATCACCTTATCCACAGTCATATCCACCATAATGATGACCATGACTGACGATGTAGGCTTCATAATTTATAGACTCCAATCAAAATAGAAAATACTGTATTACGAATGAACTACCTACTGTACTGCATACCCCATCACCAGATTTAAAATAACGGCTTGCTTCAGATTTAATGATTCCACAGTTCGGAAGGATAAAAAAAATTAGCTACCTTAAAATTTCCACAGGACATTTCCTTTTCCACCAGCAATATGGAAAATAAGGGACTCTCACAGTACTGTACTAAATATCACACGGCTTTTCGGTAAGCATGTACTCAACAAAGTAGCTTCTCTTTCGCATAATGTACCTCCACGATCTGCTCCACTATCTCTCCTTCCATGGAAACACACATGTACACAAAAATAGGCATCAGCCAACAGGAAAAAAAAATCAAGCGGAATTTCCAAAGCACGTCTCTTCACACAGCCAACTCGCATTCTTTCGCACGTACATCCCATCTCATCAAACACACGTCACAAAAATTTCATCCACAATCGCATTCACTTCCTCGTCCAAAAAAAAAAAGACAGGAATCCCGAGTGGAAAATGAAGACAGAAAGATAGAAACCCCAGCCCACGTCACGAATATTTCCGCCAACACTCGGCGTGGAAGGCTTGAGATACCTTAGGAACACTTCCTCATCCATCACCGTCCGCCTTTCCACAACCACGACGATGAAAAAAGGAAAATCGCCCCTAAACGCAGGACTTCGACGTCCCCCGACTCGCAACATCCCTAGTCAGCAGTCGCTAAGGAACTGACACTGAGGCTTCGCCGGCCAGCCGATTTTTCCGCCCCACCATCTTCTTCCTCCTCTGGCACCGAAGCGCCTGTCCGTCGCGCAGTCTCCCTGAGTCACGATGTTAGTCCACAAGGCGCTGGAATGTTCTGGAAGCTGGCGGGATGTCGGACGTGACACTCCCCGCGCTCCGGTCGCCGCATCGCTTCTCTCAAAAAGGCAATAAGCCATTTTCCGGCATTTCCCACCTTCTAAACGATAAAATTTTACAAGCAAATATCTTGGTTAACTTGAAATGCAGCTGAATTACATAAAAAAGAGTGGAATGCATTACGGCACGGTCTTGGATCCACTCGTGGATGGGAGGTTGCATAATAAGTGGATATATATATATGTTGATATTGTTGACAGATACAAAACGGCTACTTCCCTTCAGAAACCCAAAAACTTCAACAGCAAGTAAAGAGAAGCTGCCTCACTTGGAGAAACGGATTCTCTCAAGATACCTCAGGTATTTCCAGTCACTTTGGATACTGAAAAAAAATTTCAGAAACTTGGAAATCTCTTGAGAACATTTAAAAATCAACATGTTAGCCACACACAATTTACAAGATCCTAAATTACCACTTTTCTAGATACCGGAATGATCCATTATCCAAAGCAAGGTTAAACATCCCAGTCCTGAGGCCAGAGGCTTTTGACAGCCAGCACGGCGCACGCGCGTCGAGAAATCTCTTACAAACCTCTAATCCTTCCCTCCCTTTTTTCTTCTCACATATAGTATACCTTTGCGGGACACACTTTTCCCTCTCCAAAGGTCTCTGGAGTTCTTGGCGCCAAAACCAACTTCTCCCTCTCCACCTGGTATTTACAGTACCATACTTCACATGCATACTATACCTGGTTCTCCCCATATCTGTCTGGGCGGTTGCGCTCTTCAGAAAAATGTAATATGAGAACCAAATGGGGAGAAAAATAAAATTGAAAATAAAACCGCGGTTGCTTTGCTGGGTGGAGGTCGGGTTACAGAAAAGCTGATCTTTCAGTATGTGACCATCATATAGTTTGACTGGAACTTTTTAATGTATGCATCACTCAAGTTGGATAAACTGGTGCCATGTGGATCAAATTCTATAGTGCTCCTGTACCACAATGGATGCTCCATATTTAGAGGAACTTAATACAAGCATCCCTAAGGATATTTGACACTGTTACATTAATTCTTCACATAGATAAGATTGATTTAAGTTTACAATGCACATCATGTAAGTCAAGAAGCAGATTAGATAATACTTCAAGGAACAAGTCAAGAAAATCATAGAGTTGGTTCAGGTAAAGAATTAAATTACTGTAGTTACTAAGTTCATTGAATCAATAAGTGAAGCATAGAGTTTATTTATTGATGTAGCTAGACTCAATGATTGTAATTTTTGTCCAGAATTAGGACACATACTACAGATGGTACCAGCTGAACATGCAGTGGTATGGTGGAATGAGAGCATTGGCTCATCTTCAATGTGGTTCTACAATGGAATTTGCTTTATTTGTGCCAACTTTTTTCTTGTGGAACATGATTTTTGCTCAAGTTTATCTTGAAAAATGTGTTATTCATTCCAGAGACTCATCAATAAAATACCAAACTAAACATTAGTAGATATATATCTGTAGTCTTCAGCATAAAATTAAATAATTAGAATCAAATTGTATTTAATTGAAAAAATCCGGACAAGGTTGTGTTCAATATTTAAAAATTCTCAAATTTAAATAAGAACAAAAAGTATATCTGGAGAGATAAATTCTGTTCAGCCAGTATTTTCTCTTTGACATAAATAATTTAGCTATTTTAAATGGTCATTGTGCAAGTGTTTTGTACACAGTGCATTTATGCATCATGCTTTTGTAAAATAATAGACATGAGTGACACACAAAATCAGGTTCAGTTTAGGAGTGGGACTTAAATGCCTCCGTCGGTCGCATAACAAAACACCCCCAAAAAGAGCACCGACCTCTTATTTACTTGTCTCCTGGATTATGCGACGACTTCGTGGGGGAGAAAAAGAGGCCCGCAGTAACTTGACTCTCGCATCATCTCATTCCCAGGGGATCAGCTCGTATCAAATAACAAACCCAGTTTCATTTTTAATTTAATTTTTTTAAATCCCATCTGTGCGTCTCTGGTTTCCTCCGACGCGGAGCGACATCTAGGGACAGCGGCTAAACGGCGCACCGAGGTTAACCTTGTTGGCCTTGGAAGCAGGAGTCGCGCGGGTCGCAGCGCTGGGGTCCACGCCATCTGACGGCCTGAGAAGGTACTGGAGCCACTCGTCGCAGACTAAGAGAGGGTAAGAGCCGACGTCGTAAGCATTGGCCATCATGTGGATTTGTTGGAAGGGCTCAGGGCGCAGAGGGCGCGTGTTGACTGTCTTCTTGTCCGGGTGGCGCACTGGGATTACTTTCACTTGCCTAGCTGTCGCTCCTCCCCTGCAAAAAAATAAATTAAATTTTAATGATTCAAAATACAGCAAAACCCTCACATGCGGACACTTTGACATAGGGACACTTATTTTCCAATAAAAATTAATAAAAAAGGCCTGACATGAGGACACTGACTCAACATAGGCACATTTTGTGATAAAATTGAAAATACATTTCAAGCCAAATTACAATAAACAGATATTTCAACCCTAAAATTGATGTAAGGAAAGTTCTTGGGCATTTCTCTCACCAATTTACCATCCATTTAGCTAATTAAAAAAAATTTACCTCCAGCATAGAGGGACTTCCTTCTCTCTTTTTCACTTGAATGTTATTTTTTACAGCGAATGCCAAAATTTATATTTACTGTACAAAGGTATCAGCATTGAATTCCTCAAATATCAATATTGTGTGGAAATATATTGACTGAATCTGTTTAAATTGGGAGACAATTTTTATTTTCAAGGAATTATGGTGAGTATTTTGTCCATAAAACACAAATTAAAAATTGTATAATGTATGTCCAAGGAAAACTCCCAATCAAAACTCTTGATGCACTTGGGGTCTAACTGCACTGCATGAAAAAGGTGCAATTGGATGCATTTAGATTACATTGGTTTTCTACTGTACTCAATTTAGGGATGAATTATCAGAGCAAAACATCACCTTGAAATACCAGCAGTGACAGTTGGTGCAGGAGGAACCCCAAAACAAGGGTCCCTGGAAGAACCCTTGCCATCATCCTGGTCAGGTTGACCTCTGAAAGTCCTAGCAATGGTCTTCTTCACTGTCACCTAACAAAACAAAACACATCAAATTATATACTTGTCCCATAAATAAATAAAAAAACAAGCAGAACTAAATACACACACCCTCTGTTCCAAAACAGCCTGTTGTGCTGAACCAGGACAACCCAGGGCACCAGCAGTATTCCCACTCTCTTCTATGATCTCAGTCAAGCTCTTTGTCTTCCTCTGTGATGCTCCTGTCAAAAGGGGAATTCCTCATTGAAAAATGGCTGCCTCCATATAAAAAATAAATACATATATATATTACAAAGATTTAGATTTACCCAACAGAGTTTGTGGTGTCTTGGGACACATGGCCTGAAGGGCACTCCTAGGATCCCTCTCAGAAGTGGCTTCATGCTTTCTCACTTCTTTGCACCCAGGTGTTGATCCTTTTCTTCCATCTGCCATATTTTTGGATTAATATTTATTTACTACAGAAAAAAAAGCTAAGAACAAGGAATTTTAAGTGAAGGTCCCCATCACAGTCCTGAGAACAACTTCAACTGGAAAATATTTCCTGGAAGGTTCCACCAAAAACTATCTCACATTACTATTTTATTTCTTCAGATCTAATTAAAATTAGCATGCCTTAGGTTTACTCATTTATTGCCATGCTCAGCAATGGGGGACCACATGAGGATATAAAAATGGAAAATGATTTTCTGGGAAGCTTAACCAGCAGTTCCTCCTCTGAGGTAATATTGGAAAACCTTGTGAAAGACATTTCTTCACAGAACTGTATTTCCTTATGCAGGAGAAACATTTCAGTGCTGACCTGGTGTCTTCATCCAGTGACTCACCAGGGGATGACCTGAGTGGCAGTGCAGTAATTATTTTCTTTGGTGTTTTTGGCATTTGTAACTACAGTATATTTGAGAGTGTTCATTTTTGCAGAAACAAGCAAAGAAGGATGCCAAATCAGCCAGAAGAGACTTGAGGGGCTTTGTCAAGGAAATGAGAATCACCTCTGAAGGGATCCCATTGGAACTGAAACTCCAGAGGAACTTGAACCAGGAGCACCACATGGAGCAAGTGGAACTACCACACATACCAAGTCTAGGAGAATCCCAGAGAACATGCAGGGCTTCAGAGAGGATCTTCAGAGTGTCCAAACAGAATAATCATCAGCAGCAGGAAGATGAACTGCCTGTGGTCCATGGGTTTTTTGAGGATGCCTCTCTGGGTCTGGGGACCAATAAACCCCAATTGGCACAGAACCTCAAAATAGTGACATCCAGTAGCTCTGAGAGTTCTCCAGAGAAGGCCCAGTTTATTAATGATCTCAATATCCCTTCCTTACCAATGGTCTCCACAACAGACCTACTGGTACCATCCCAAGCTTATCAACCACCAGCAGTCCACTCTGTAGTGGACCACAGCATCCATGACTCTGACCATGACCATGACCCATACTTCCTCAAGGACCCTGAAAAGGAAGACTATGGTCATCTGGAAACTGACTCTGTGCATGCTGACATCTCTGAATCCAGGCCCCTGCCAGAGCTACCAGACTTGCCAGAGTTGACACCTGATGACCAGCCAGTGAAACATGTCAAGGTCCTGTACCATCCACCAAGTCATCCAATGAGACAGTCTGAGACAGAGAGGCCAAATAAGAAGGGTAAAGCTGGCAAGGTCCTGGTAAGCACCTCCAAGAAGGTGTCATGGCTAGCAACCCCAGATGGTGCAGAAAATGATTCTGGAGGCACCACCTGTTTGGATGACTCCCCTGACAGTGACCATCACTCCTTTGTCAGACTCTCCACACTCCAGGCCCCCAAAAATAAGTGCTTTGACCAAGTGGACCATTTCTATGACTCACCCAAACAAAAGTGTGACACTCAAGAATTCAGCCATTTTAGTGACTTCACTATGGACCCTAGTAGTTCTCAGCTTGGAGGTCCTGGCTCTGCTGTGCCTGATCCAAGTTCAGAGAGTGAAAGTGATGACACACCCATCAACCAGCAGTTGCAAAGGAGACACTCTTCCTTGTTGATCATGAGATCAAACCATGAGTCTGACATGGAGTCTGCCAGTTCCCCAGAGTTCACTTTTGGTCCCATCATCTCACAGAACATGGTGAGGACCAGTGAACAAGGCAGGGCTCCTTTGCATAGCTCCACCAACATTACTGAGGAATCACAATCTACACTTTCTCAAGAAACATGTCTTGATGAGAGTCAAACAGATGTGCCTGCACCACCTGATGAGATGATTGGTGAGAGTAACACTGAGTCTCAGCAGGAACCAAGTCAAGGTGGAGAGTACAACCAACTCACCACCAGTATGAGAATGGGTGAAATTTATGAGAACTTCCCAAAGCCCAAGGATCCATCCTCAGTCTTACCAAGAGCCCCTGCTGCAGCTGGGACCATCATGTTGAACTCATCCATGTCCAGAATATGCCAACCACCAAGATCCATGAAGAAGACATGTGTGCCAAGTGTTTACAAGAGAAGCAAGACCTTGGGAACACTATCCTCTGAGACCAACAACAATGGGCACCAGATTTTGGTTGCTGCAGGTGCACCATCACAAGCCATAAGGTGCAGGAGGTCTCTGCTGGACAAGCCAATGGCCAAGACAGACTCATCAGGTTTGAATGAAAGCACTTCCAATAAGAGATCCACCACCACCACCATCAGCAGCACAAAGGCAACTCTTGATTCCACACATCATCAGAGAGCCTCTGAAATAACACTACCAACTGATACCAAGTCCACAGTGGTGACTACCAAACCCATGGACTCTGCTTATGGCACCCATGACCCTTCTACAGCTGCTGGAGACCTCATACCCTCAGACATTGGGATTGAGCTCAAGACAGTGGCCAGTGATAACATGGACTCTGATGATGTAGACCAGAAGACCAGCCCAACTATTGGTACACCAATGAAGGAGTTGAAAGGAAAAGCTGCAGTGTGGAACACTGTCAAGATTGGGTCCATCAGGAGATTCCAGCCATTGAAACCATCCCTCACAACCATCTCCAAGCCTGATGAGAGTCTGGTTCCTGTGAAAAGGGTATCCATTACTATCCCCAGATTCCAGAGTCCCAAGGTACAAGTACCAGAGTCCAAGCAACAGCAGAAACAAGGACAGAAGTTACCAAGTGGTATTCCAGATACTGAAAAAAAGACTAAATCAAAAACAAATGACCCTGAGGGGCAGCAGGATAATCAAACACAGTTTCCTGATGAATCCAATAATGAAACTGTTCAAAAACATACTTCAAAGAGTCTTGGCAGGCAGAGCCATCATGGTGAGTATACATACAGGGTAACACTAAAAAACAAATCTATGCATACCTTAACTACATACAGAGTTACATATAGACCTTCCCTATCACAAAAAATTTGGACAAAATCAGGATAGAAAAAAACTGAACAATTAATTTCCATTGTCTAATGTTTCTTCAAATCTTCATGATTTTTTATTTTATCATTGTCAATAAACTGAAACTATTCATAAAAAAAATACAAACTGTTCCTCCCATCAAAAGTATAAATTATCCAAAATTTAGGAAAGACAATGGCAGTTGAAATTATCTGATAAAACAATGAAAGTTGGCTTTCCTCTTAATAACAACTTCACAAATTTCCACCCACTAATTTTTTATTTATTTTTTTTCATTCTGAAAAATCTTTCCTCAAGCCCATATGGAATCTCACTTTTTGAACACATTCCACTTATTTTTGATTATACATTTTTATTTGAAATACACTTCTTCATGTGAGAGTCACTCAAAATATTTCACAGGTCCAGAGTCAAAAACTTATCAACAAGAAAACCCACAGTCCAGTTCCAAGGTGAACTACACCTCAGCAAAGAGAGACAAGTGTGGATTTGAGTCCAACTCATCCAGCCAAGACACCAAGAAGGTGACTATATTATCCACCATCAACCAATGGTGAACATGTTCTATTTTCATTTGTTGATTTGTCTCTGCTAGAAAAGGCAAATAATGGCAGTGAAGCCCAGGAAGAAGATTAGAGGCCTGATGAAGAAATCCTCAGAATGGCTGGCACCTCTGAAAATGCTCAGGTTCAGAGAAAGGAATTTGCACAGGGGCTTGCACCAGATATTGTACTCTTCCACTCCAAGTGAAGGCCAGCTGTGTCCCAAGGACTTCTCACACATGTGCCACCAGTGGAAGGACATCAAGTATGTGTCATGTCCCAACATGATGATTGACCAAGAGGACACATGTGTCATCCATGAGGCCAAGTCCAACAAAGTGTCTCAGTTGATACAAATGTGGGAAGCTTCCAAGGATGAACCTAATCTAATTTCCAGAGAAATCCCAAAAGAGTCTAGAAAGTTTCCAGACATGGAGATTATCAATACTTCTGGTCACTCCATAGACCATTTGCAGGAGACTGTTGCTTCACAGGATGCATTCAGTGTGACAGAGAGCAAACAAGAGTTTAATCCTATCAAGGAATGTTTTGCAGCCTCCATCAGTCCTTCCAGCAGAGAGGACCCTTTAGATGACACCAACTCCTGGGATGCTCCACCAGAACATGTTTCATCATCCATCCAAGAAATGGAAACCATGGACAATTCCCTGGATTCCTTCAAGGAGTCTTCATCAGCTCTTCAAGTACAGGAAACAGTGTCTCAGATTACAGAAGACCTTGATGATGCTTTCCAACAGCATGTGGAACCCATCCCTGAGGCATCCCAAAAGCATGTGGAACCCATCCCTGAGGCATCCCAAAGGCATTTGGAACCCATCCCTGAGGCATCCCAAAAGCATTTGGAACCCATCCCTGAGGCATTCCAACAGCATGTGGAACCCATCCCTGAGGACACTCAATCAGGGTCTGCTGTACAATTGTTCACACAATACTCTGCCTTCAATCAGGCTCTTCACCAGAGCTCAGCCAACTGTGCACCACTGGACCCTGAGCTGACAGCCACCACATCAGTGCAGCAAGCGCAAATGAGTGATATTGTCCAAGAGGACCAGCTGGAGGCACTGCTTTCAACACCTGTTGGTCAGTCAGTGGCTTCCTTGAAATTTTCATTTTAAAAAATTACTCCTTTTCATCATCCATCCAGAGAAGGATAAAAACTTGGGCCTCAGGTCAGCCTGGACCAAAGCTGGGTCATGTCCAAATGTTGCCACACCAGCTCTGTGTCCACCAGCTGAACAACCACCAAAAAGGTCTTCTGAAGGTTGGTATGACCATAACAAAGTAAAAATTGCTCTTAAAAGCATGGCTTTGAAAAATTAAAGACCATTATTATAAAAAAAACAATAATTTCAACAATAAAATAAAAAAAGATATGAAGACAGATGAGGAGGGATAATCCACCTGTTCCATTTTCTTGGTCTTCACCTTGTAGAAATACCCCAAGAGACCCATTTGGATGAAGAACCAGGTGCAGATGTTTCAGAATATGTCCCAGGATCCAGTGGTAGCATCATAGTCACTTCCAGGGACCACTGTGAGACAGTCTTGTCCAATTCCTTCTACTCCACTCCAGGCACCTCCAGCATGCTTCTAGACCAGAACCCAGACAACAGGATCATCACAACAGATGTCTCCTCTCACCTGGATGATGAATCCTCCACAACACAAAGCAGCATCACTCAGCACAAGACAACCCAGAGACCTGATACACCAGCAAAACATTGCACAAGGCCACTGTACAAGAATGCTGTCAATTTGGTGATACAGACCATCATGCCTCATCAAAAGGCAGTTTTCACTCAACAACCTGACCTTGCTTCCAAGAGGGTCAAGGAGCAGCAGAACATTCTGGGCAGCCTGAATATTGCAGAGAGTGCCCAAAATGAACCAGCAGAAAAGCCTTGCCACAGGAAAAAGCTGCACCAGAGGCCCAAGAAGCACCACCACAACAACTTCCTGGAGAGCCACCAAGTGGTACAGCTGAGACAAATGGCTGAACACGCATTGCACAAAGCTCAAGTTCTCACTGAGACCAGGAAAAAGTTCCTTAGCATGGCCTCAAACAGCCAAGCAAGGGCTTCACAGGCTTCTGCAGTGCTTCTAGGAAAATTTGTCCATGTCCCACGCAATAATAATAAGTCAAACATGATCCACACAATCAAGAAGAAACAGAATCATCATCATCATCACCAGGGACAAAATCCCACACCAAGGACAATTTTGCCACACAAACCCCAGGTCTCTTGGCCACCACTTGGTCTGCACAACTTGATGAAAGACATCCCTTCAGTGGACCTTGTGGACTTTGCATCTGGACTGTACCAGACTCTGCGCTGCTACACCACCACCACCAAACCCAGTCCAGCAGCTGCTTTCAAGAAGACCTGCTGCTTGCCAGGCACTGTGTCCATGAACTGTTCTTGCCAAACCAAGACCTGCTCCACCAGGGTGACAGAAACTGAACACATTCACACACTGCAAGACACTGCTGGTGATGTTTTTGAGATGCACTCTCAAGTGAAGAAGTGTGACAGTGACATCTGTGCTGCACTCAAAAGCTCCTTGGCTTACAGGGAAATGGTGCACAACCTGGTTGGTGACTGTGCTGATGACGGAAACCTCAGAAATTAAATCCCTCTTTTCTTGTCCTCTTGTATGGAAGATTAAAATCTATTCATGTCCTGAACTTTAAACCAAAAAATCATGCAGAACCAGAGTTTTGAGCAAAACCTCAACTTGTTCAACTAAACCACACAAAATCAAAACAACTTTGGCAATACACTACAACCTCTTGGACAATAGAAAAAAAAACAAAATCTAGTTGCCAAAACTCTTGTTGGATGAGACTTGGTGCAGAGATTCCCACAGTGAATTGTCCACACAACAATGAAACACAGATCAACCATCAAGCTTTCTCCCATGAGTTTCAATGGGCAATAAGATGCAGGCCACAGCAGCAAGAAGGGCCAACACAGCATATGTTCCTGTGGCAAGAGCAAGTGAGGTTCTCAACAGCACCTGAAATAAGAATGACACACATGATGATAAGCCTTTAGTACCAGCATTATTGGTCACCTAGGACAACTGACCTGAGCCACAAATGGGGTCACCATGGCTCCAAAACGCGCAGCACCACTGCAAGTCCCCACTCCAACAGCTCTCAGGGATGTTGGATACACCTGTCACACATTCAAAAATATTATCCAGGGCACAATAACTTGGTGGTACCACCAAGAAACTCTTGGCAATACAAAAATTGCTTTTTCTTTTAATTCTTGATCAAATTTCTTGATCTAAAAAATCACATGGTTCACTATACCAGTGTTCCCCAATCTGTGATCCAGTGCCAGTCCACAGCAGTTTTTTTGCCAGTCTGCAGGAAATTTTATTTTAGCATAACGAATTTATCACAAGTGGAAATGAGGTCTGTTGTCTTTACGTGCAATTTCAAAAAGGCATAGGGCAGTCGAAATTGTCTGATATTAAGTATAAGGAGGCTTTTCCCATTCAAAAATACTTGAGACAAATTTTCCCCTCCTGAAAGGAATTATTTCAGTATTTCATTCAAAGAAACCTTTCTAAATTTTTGAAGACATTCCACTAAATGAGCTTCATGGAATCTTGGCTTAAGTTTTGCAAAGAAGCAGGAACTTTCTTGAGTCAACAAAAGTTCTATGAAACTTTGCTGGTCCAAAAAAAGAGTTTCCTGGAAATTTGCTGGTCTGTGGGCCTAAGAAGGTTGGAGAACACTTCCCAATACTAAAAAATAAAATAATTATAGTAGATTAAAAAATTAATCTAAAAAACCACGTTTTCAAAAAGCAAAAAATAACCTTAAATGTGGTGCGCATCTATTTCATTTGTATTTCACTTCTTCCCAACAATCTCCATGCGCACCACGTTTAAGGTTATTTTTTGCTTTTTGAAAACGTGGTTTTTTAGATTAATTTTTTAATCTACTATAATTATTTTATTCTTTTTAAAAAATATTCTTAAAATTTATTTTTTCACAAAAGATTGCATTGTCATCAGTTTCTAGGCTATCCTGAAAGTTTCAGCTTGATAGCTAGTCGGGAAGTGAGTGAAATTTGAGTTTCAAAATTTGATCTGGACAAACAAACAGACAAGAAAGTGAGTTAATAAAAACGTGTTAATTAATTAGAAAAAAAAATGTTCCAGGGGGTGGGATTGAACTCGGACCTCTGCGACCAATTCAGTTCACCATGGGTTTTTTTCTTGGGGCCAAGGAAAACCTGCTCAAAGTTTTATTATAGAAATCTACTATAATTATTTTATTCTTTTTAAAAAATATTCTTAAAATTAATTTTTTCACAAAAGATTGCATTGTCATCAGTTTCTAGGCTATCCTGAAAGTTTCAGCTTGATAGCTAGTCATGAAGTGAGTGAAATTTGAGTTTCAAAATTTGATCCGGACAAACAAACAGACAAGAAAGTGAGTTAATAAAAACGTGTTAATTAATTAGAAAAAAAAAATGTTCCAGGGGCTGGGATTGAACTCGGACCTCTGCGACCAATTCAGTTCACCATGGGTTTTTTTCTTGGGGCCAAGGAAAACCTGCTCAAAGTTTTATTATAGAAATCTACTAAAATTATTTTATTCTTTTTAAAAAATATTCTTAAAATTAATTTTTCACAAAAGATTGCATTGTCATCAGTTTCTAAGCTATCCTGAAAGTTTCAGCTTGCTAGCTAGTCTGGAAGTGAGTGAAATTTGAGTTTCAAAATTTGATTCGGACAAACAGACAGACAGACAGACAAGAAAAGTGAGATCATAAAAACGTGGTAAAATAAGGTATATAGTCAATCATCCTCCAGCTATTGAGTCTTTTAGCAACAATCATCAATTTGCTTACCTCAGGGGTGTAAACATAAGCTGCTTGAAAAACACCTGACACAGCACCTCTGGCAGTGAACAGCAAAGCAGTCAAGAATGTCCTCCTGCATTCAAAAAGTAACAAATGATCAAAATATTGAAAGGACCAGATCAAAAGCAAAACACTCACCCTGGATAACACACAAACAACATGGAAAGAGTGAATGCAAACACCACCAGCTCAATGGCCATAGTCTGCTTCCTCCCAACCTTTTCAATGATCATTATGGTGAAAAATATCCCTGGAAACATAGTTTACATGAGTAATTTGAGCTTTTGGGAGATGCTTTAGTGGTACTCACCAGGGAACTCAGCCAAGGTTGTCCACAGCAAATCAATGTAATCAGAGTGATTGAGTGACTTGCACTGAACAGAGCATGACTCAGACTCCATCTTATCTATAGCACCACACAATTGCTCAGAGGGCACTTGGAACAGCTCTGTTGTCATCAGCACCACACCATAGTAGCAAAATGCACAAGTAAACCTGTTAATTACAAATATATTTCAAGTGTTCATCAGTGATGAATCTTCAAGTCCAAGTTTTCTGGGTACACATAAATTCTCTGAACCAACTGGTTCAACAAAATTGTACAAAACATCCAGTGGTTCAGAATGATGAAAAAAGAAGAAACCTCTCTCTCTCTCACCAGATGAACCACAAAAGAAAAGAGGTCCACTTCAGGTCTGGCATGAGAAGATCAGAGAACCTGCCTCTTCTCCAAGAAGAATATCCATGGCCATCATCCACAATCAGTCTGCCAAGAAGCATGGATTTCCCATTTTGGTCAGCTATCTTCTTCAGGGTGCTCAGGGCCTTGTCAGACTGACCACTTGCTGCATGGAACCTGGCACTCTCTGGCATCCACTGAAAAAGAAAAGAAAAGCAAAATTATCCTCATTCTACTCCCCAACAGTTCCCAGTAGAATAGGAACAGACAACATCTCAGAACTACTGCTTACTCAAATATTGTAATTTGCAAGGCTTGCTGAAAACTCAGCCATGTTGTTTTCATTGACAATGGGCAGGAAAAAACATACTTCTAAAAACTTCAACTCCAAGATAATACTTTGTTCCAGTGCATTTCAATTATTTACTGTGTAATTACTCTACATTTCAGTATTACTCATAATTAAAATTATTCATTCAATTGATAAATAATGTTTCAAAATTATGTTTATTATAACTTCAAACTTTTTGTAATTTTGAAGAATTGCAAATCCTCATTCAACACTTCAAAGTTTCTCTTGACCATAAGAAAAACTATATCAAACAGGAACATGCTGGACAGCTAGGAAATATTTTCACAAGATTTCTTGAAAACAATCCAGTGGAAGGAACAACTCACAAAGCAGATTAAACAGTAGATGAACACAGGAAAAGAGGATATTGCCAAGAAGGACCTCCAGCCCCAAACTGGCATGACATAGATTGCCAACAGCACTTCCAGACATGCTCCCAAGGCCCAGAAACACTGTCAAAATAAATAAAACAGATACATCAGAATCTTGTTACATCAAAGCCATTCTTTAGAACCTGCAAAACACCTTTGTTATAACAAAAACTATAATAAATAAGCATTCTTCATAAGATTATTATACTTGGAAAGAACCAGCTCATCATCATGAAACTACTTGCCAAATGAGATGAACTCTTTTGCTAAAAAACCAAATTATCAATGATGCAGATCAACACATAATTCAGTAATTATTCTCAAAATTCATGCTTCAAAATAAAATTCAAATCTTTGAATGAGCACAAGTTTTGCAGACACTTTAGAACCAACAAAAGGATCAGCACACAAATCCACCATAAAAAACACAATGTAAAACTAACCTTATAAAACAAAAAAGTACAAAATTCATTCAATTATCCAGGAACACAGCCAACATTTCCAATAATAATAATAAAAAAACTTACATCCAGCAAGATCACACATCTGGCTCTTTGCGCTTGCGGCAAAAACTCTGCATACAATGTCACACTGCAAGCAATAAAATCAAACAGTTTTTTGGTCGGCTTCCAAACATTTTTTTTACACACAGCACAATAACAAAAACACAGAATTACAAGAAAAGGTGAAAATTGGACAAGGAATTGAACTCACGACTGCGGGATGCATCCAATAGCAAAACCCACTAGAGACCTTAAAAGGATCAACCAGATGTAAGTTGGTGCTGTGGAACTGAGGATTCCATAATAAAACAGCAACCAGGCAGCTATCAGCAGACCCTGTTGACAAAAAATATTTCTCATAATAAAACAAAGTAATTGGAACATTCTGGAAAGAAACCTTCCACATAACAGAACATCAAGACTCAAGATTGTGGCTATAATAAAATGACCAAACCAAATTAAACTAAAGGTATTCATGATAAAAAAAAATTGGTTGCAAGCAAATCCTGCTGTAATTCCAAACAAAAAACTCACAAACCACCAGTTGCATTGCTTCAAATCCACATAAAATACATTTAAAAGAATTGTTGAGCATGTATGCAGTTCTAAAAAAATATTGGCAACAAAACCCAAAATCACAGTCTAAAATTTGGCATGCAGTCAATCAAACTTACCATCTTCCTTCCATACTTGTCACTGAAGTTGCCCCAGAAAGGTGCACTGATCATCATCCCCATAAAGACCATCTAAACCAGACAACAAAATACACACAGGGTTCTCAAAAATTCAAACAAAACAAAAAAACCTCACAGTAGTCATGAAGGCTTGTCTCCACTGTGAAAGACCCCATTCACAGTGTAGAGCAGGTGCCAGGATGCTCAGGATCATCATCTCCATTGAGTCTGCCATCCAGCACAGCCCTGTGATGAAAGACAACCTGATCTGGAACTTGCCAAATCCCAGTGCATTCACAGCTTGTTCCACAGTGAAGGAATCTTAGAAAAAGAAAAAATGCAAATTAAATAACATGAACATCAGACATTCAAAAAAATCCCACAAATCTTGGGAAGCATAAACACAAATAATCATCTCAACAATCCAACAGCTGATCCACATAAGTAAAATTTCTTCCAAGAAATATATTCTTGAAGAAAAAGAAAGGATAAAAAGAGATTTCTTGGAGAAAATTGGCTCTTACATAAAATTTAAAAAATGTCTATCACAGTACAAAAACCATTGATTAGATAATCAATAAATTCCATAAATCCTTGAAAACATGACCAAAAAAAAATATTTATCTCAAGCAATCAACCAGTTGATCCACATGAGTAATTTTTTTAAACAAGAAATGCATTCTTAAAAAAAAAGATGTCTTGGAGCAAGTTGGCTCTTTGATACCCAGAAAAATCTTCCAGAAGAGCTCAATAGATGACACTAACATCCAAACTTCTTTTCCAACTCTTTAAAACCCTACACCTAATTCATACACATGTAAAATTCTAATCTCAGGATCAACACACACTTTCCCAGTCATCAGCAAAAAAAAAAAAACAGACATTCAAACACATGCATAAATCACCAATTTCCAAGGATTTTCGATAAAAAAAAAATTGCCAATAAAACGCAAGGATTTCCACGCTATCTTCAATTTGCAAAAGATGGAAATATTCGACGCAGAACTGACCATCAGGGACGACTCCAGCCACAGCAGCAGTGAGTTCAATTTGCACACCAGGATCCAGCTCTTGTGGCAAAGATCGTTGTCCACTGCTCGAAGAACTCAAGGCGGATGCAGCAGATATTGACGAGCTAAAAATTGGACAAAACAGCAAAAAAAATAATTAAATAAACTTTCGACACTCGGCACAAAAATTGAAAAAAAACCTTAATTTCTTCCACCCTTTTTCACCGCACCACCAAGCATTTCAAGTTCATAATTTCGATCAAATTTACGTCCTAAAACACCGAATCAAATTATTCTCACCTCATCTCCAATAAATTCATTATTATTATTTTTTTCTTCAATAACCTAGTTGTCACACAATGATTCAAGTGACATCTATGTGATATCCCTTAAAGCAAAATAAAAAAAATATTTGAAAATACTGTAATACAATTTAAAAAAACAGTATTGTAAATCGTTTTCGTCACAAAAATATCATTAAAAAAAACCACCGACTTTATTCTTTGCAGATTTACACAAACCCGCTACAACGAAATTCAAGGGATAAGGGAAAATTGAGAATCTAGGCATAAAGGCATCCTTATAACATAGGAAAAAATATTTTTTATGCATAGAAAATCGTCATAAAATTATGCTGAGCATTCCCAAAAATTCTTTTCGCCCGGAAATTAATTTCCCATAATTTTCGCAACCTCTAAATTATTTTCCTATCTCCGGAAATTTTGCAAAAAAAAATCGCAGAGCAGCCAAAAATGCCAATAATTATTATTAAAAAATGAATAAAATAAATGAAAAATGCCACCCACTCGTGAGCTTCGCCGCCATAGTCATGCTTGGCGGCGTCCCGGTGGCCAAGAATGGCGGCTCTTTCCGTCGTCGCCGCCGCCGGGGAAATGGCGGTCCGCAAAAATCCCAGTCCGTGAGGCATGACTCGGACGACGACGCGGGATCAGCGATTGACAAACACAGCAACACAAACGACGTTGTTGTCGGTGATGTCGACCAACATTTCACTCGCATTCACACGAAGAAGTAAAAAAAAAAACTCACACGGCAAAAATCGACTCAATCACTTCGTCTTTTTATATATATATATATTTTTTAAATTTATTTATTTTTCTGCGGTCGAGAAATGTTTATTTTCCCTCTGGAAAAATTGTTCCTGGAAAAAATAGAGTTTTCTACATCAGGTTAAATTCTTCCTACTTTAAATATACATATTTTTTAATGTACGACGAGAAGAAAAAAAAATCTCTCCACAAAAAAAGAAGAATCGCGGCGAGATTGCAAACAGAGAACGATAACGACGAAATTAATCGCCAAATCCGCTTTCAAATATCCTCTGCCAATTTTTTTCAAAATTTCCGGATCAACAAAAAATCATTCATTTGCAACCGGATTCAAGACAACAGGTTCAAGATACCATGGTTCAAATGTAAAAAATAAATGAATAAAATAAATACGACTGAAAAACGCTTCATGTTTATTTTCGTGTGAGAGGGAGAGAGAAGAATGCAAAACACGTCCGGTTCAAGAATGTTGTTCATAGCGGGAACAGAACAAGTGAATGACCTTTTGGGTTCGGGCTTTTGAAACCAGCAACCCATAGTTTTTTTTTTTTTTTCCAGGGTGTGGTGTACTGATATGACCTTTTCTCCAGTCCTCGACTTGGAGACACTCGGTTCAAACGTCTTTTTCTCGCTCAAACACAAATATATAAATTTTTTCAACTTCGTGAAAAAACGTTCGCATTCGCATACATTTTCCAATTATATCGATTTCGCGATTTTTTGTTTCGTGCGCGAAACGGAAGAAATGGGCAGAACCACGCAGTGTTTTTTGCGAGAAACAGAGAAACAGTTTTCATAAAATAATTCAAACAATTTCTCCGAACCCCCTTTTTTTTTGCAGAAAAGATTTATTTTTTGGCAGAATTATTTCGTATTCGGAGTTTGTCTGGGCTAAGAAAACGAATAATTTTAAAAACACTGTAAATTATTTGCATTTCGTCGTAATTCTTTCGCTGGATAATTTCAACCAAGTTTTTTTTTTTGCGCACATGAAAAAATAATTGGCAGCAGCCAAAAGTGTTTTCGAGAAAATGCGAATTTTACTGAAGTCTCATTTTTACGTCATTTTTCATCTTTACGAAATTGTCATCAATATTTTATTTCCAACTCTTTTCTTTTCGGCGTGTAAAAAAAAAAATGGAACCACATCAAAATTTTGTTCGGAAAAGCCCAGAACATTACATTTACACTTTACCTCAAATCCCTGAATTCACAGAAATTTTCTTTTCTTTCTCAAGCACAATTAATAACGCAGGAAAACAAAAAAAAGTGGAAAAGAACCCCGGAAGTGGGATTCGGAAGTTGAACATGGGTTATTATCCTTGGTGCCTCGGATTCACGACTGCTGCTCTACTTTTCGGAGTGGTTTTCTCGGAAACAATTGACGTGAAAGGACAAAAGGACGCCGCCATGTTCAAGGTAAGAATTTGATTTTTTTTACAAGATTTGAGATTGAGAAAACTGACTGAAATAAAGTCATCTAAACACGTTTTCAGTGTCCTTTCTTCGAATTTTATTGACAGGCACACGAAAGCCAACATAAAAATTGGAGGAATTTAAAATTGAGTAAAACAAAATACGTTTTAATTATGGAATAAAAATGTGGAAATTGAACTTGGACTGAAATATGACTAAAGTTGAACTGGAACAATTCGACTGGAATAATTTCAACACACACATCCACATTTTCTGTGATTAAAATTTTTTTGTTGGCATTTAAACAATAAAATTATGGGTTAAATGAAACATTTCACAAAACATAACTGAATATCAATTTCCTCATACAGTACATTTTAAAATTCAGCTTCTCAGCACACATATTTTAAAATTCGAAGGCACAAAAAAAATCCGCAAAAATTTCGCGGTCAACACCACAAAGTACGGTATCCAAATTTGCAACTTTTTAAGGTACTTATTTGAAATTATAAGCCACGGGTCCAACCAAAAATTAGGGACACGAAATTTTTTCCGGTGGAAGCAATTCTGCTGAAAGCCATCATCACATGCAAAAAATAAAAATAAAAATCGCGAGAGGATACAGTAACAGTACAGTATTTCCGGAAGAAAAAAAAAACCGGATATCCTTTTCCGCACAGAGGAACATAAATCAAGAAATTACTTCCCGCCTTTCTCGCGCCAGATGAGGAAACCCAGGAAATATTACAAGACACCGGAGGCATCATTAATCACTCTCAGAAAATAACAATAAAAATAATAGCCTACAATTATATGACATCATACGAAAATAACCATTAACTTCCTGTAATTAACACTCCTTTTCTTTCTTTCCTCCTTCACTTTGAAAACTTCTTGAAACAAGAATCACTTTCAGATGAGCGAAATCTTGTCTGTTTTTCAAACAAGGCTGAAAGAAAATGCCAATCGAATCACGAATTATTGTTTTTTTTTTCTTCAAAAATTCAGAAACGCCTACTTTTTTTTACTTTTCTTTGTTGAAAGTCAACAGCACCAGGATTTTTCAGATCTTGTTAAAATACCTCAAATGTAGAAAACGTTTGAATTTAGACACAGAAATAATTTTAAATACAGTATTTAAGCAACGTACGTAAGTTGTTACGGCACTTCGAAATTCATTTTTAAAATGTCAAAATCCACGTTATTCGTTTTTTTTAATTAAATTCGAATGCGAGTCAGACGAGAAACTTTTTGGAAAAAAAAAACACTGCTCATATTTTTTTAAAACATGAAATTCAAAATTCTTCTTTTTTTTTTTAAAGGAGATGAAGTTAAGTATCAATTTATTATTTTTTCAATTACAGAAAGAAAAAAAAAACTCCAGGGGTTTCCTCTTTTCAATTCCAAAACGCAATGACCGCTGTACATTTTTTTCTATCTTCATAAATTGAATAATTGATCAATTTAATTATTTTTTATTCCATGCAGGAAGGAACAATTGGAAGGGCATTGACTGAAGCCCGTCAACTCCTTCGAATCCCCTTCGTTTCAGACAGATTTTTCATCCCGATCCTGATGCCTGCGGCTCTTGGGGCCCACTTCTGGTTTCGTAAGTACAGTATATATTAAAAAATATATATTTGTTGACCCGTTAAATATTTTTAAGAGCACTTATTTTTCTGAGATTAATTATGCCTCATCAAATATGACTGACCAGCGATTACAGAAAAAATAAACAAGGGGATTTGACAGTCGTTTTTTTTTCAAATCTTTTCCTCATCTTTTGTTGATAGCAGATCATGTAATTTTTTTAAATGATGCCTGTGCCAAATTCTGATAGTTCTGAAAAAGCTGCTGATACATTTTTAAAAATGTTTACCTACAATTTATTTTAAAATTTATATGTTCAGTCTTGATTTTTTCATGGCCCCATTTTTTTTTGCTTTGTTAATTTCAAGCAGGAAAAATTGCGATAAACATTAATTCGAAGCATTCAAATTCAATATTTTTCTTTCTCTTGTAGAAGCCACATAAATTACGTCCTTTCTGGGAGGTCTGGGGAAAATTAAGCATTGAATTTGATTTGTAAATAATTTTCAAGTCATAACTCGGTTAACATACTTTTTAAAGAATTGGTTATTACTGCAAGAGAGCAAGTCCATTAACCGAGACACCACTGTACATTAATTTATATAATATTTAATTTTTTAAACAAGAAATTATGATTCACCAAAGAACACATTAAGTCCATTAACTGAGGTACTACTGCATTTTACTTCATATAAAATTGAATTATTTTCAGTTGCACCAGCAAGAAATGATAATTCACCAAAGAACACATGAAGTCCATTAACTGAGGCACTGCTGAATTTTACTTTATGCAATCCTGAATTGTTTTGGTAGATGTGCCATTAAGGAATAATGCACACAACTGGGATATAACAAGTCCATTAACCGAGACACCACTGTATTTTACTTTATATATACAGCATATAATATTAAAAGGTTTTTAGACGCACCAGCAAGAATTAATTCACAACGCAACACATAAAGTTCATTAACCGAGGCACTACTGCATTTCCTTTGCTAAAATTCTGATATATTTTTTTCTTTTTTTGTAGATGTTCCAGCATTTTTGGGTTTCGTGTTGGGTTTTTTCTGGCCCTTCTACGAGTACCTAAAAAACGGGTACACGTACTACCAACCCGGCATCATCTGGGACCGGGACTTTACAGAGTTCGCAACCTGGTACTTCAAGCACAAGATCTACAAAAAGAAGTACTGGAACTTGGACGCCTACTTGTACACTTACTTCAGTGATCACAATTCAAACCTATTGACACTCTATGAGGTGAAGAAGGTGGAGAAACCCAAGGATGATGATGATCATGGATATGGTAGTGGGGAAAAGGAAAGCTACCAATTGGAGGCATCCAAGACTCAGACAATGGACGAACTGCTCAGTGACTTAGTGTCAGACATGCTCAAGGCTAGTCCCTATGTTGAGGACTTTGTAAGAGACATAACAGCTGGGCCTGGGTTTGAGGAGATAAAAAAGGCTGTGAAACAAGCCATGGAAGAGCAATTTGGTGGGCATTCAGAAGAAGAAGAAGAAAATGAGGATGATCATGATGAACAACTACTTACAGAGAATTCTTCATACATTGAAGAACAAGTTGGTGAAGATGAGCCCTTCTCTGAAGACAGGAAGGGCACAGTGATCCAAAACACAGGTCAGTAAGCAGAGGTACACACTCTGGCAACCCCAACTTTTCTTCATCTTCATTTGTCACTCAGTGAGGGATGGTAAATTTGTCAATGGTGCCAAATTAAAGGCATGTTAATCACATTTTACCACTCTGTAGGTACCACAGAGGCATAATAGATTATTGAAGATCCTAATGATATGAGGTCAATAAAGTGAAACCAATTTAATCCAATGGAAAAGGTCAATATAGTGGCCTATGCCATTGATCCTGTATTATGAAACTAGCCAATTTTGGATCATTCAGATTATCCAGAGCATAATTTTACTTAAGTTCTCAGAAGAAAATATTCAGTATTTCAATGAAAAACTGACTCTTTGCATACATAAGAAGAGTAAACAATTTTACATGTTCTTTTATTTCAAAACGTTAACACTGACTTGACAAAATTTCCAAAGTTTAAACTCAATAC